CTGAAACTTTCAGAATCTCTTAAGAAGAGGGGACACATGTTGATGTAGAAGAGACATGAAGAAGAGGGGACACATGTTGATGTAGAAGAGACATGAAGAAGAGGGGACACATGTTGATGTAGAAGAGACATGAACAAGTGGATTTTGCATTACAGGTGACCTTTAATGCCTTTCATAACAAACCTGTGCGATGGCCTCCATCAGGTTGGACACCACCTTGTCCCGGTCCTCGGTCAGGATCTGGTGCAGAGTGGCTCGTCTCTCGCTGTCCTTGCGGAGCATAAAGAAACCCGAGTCCTTCTCATCTGGAGACGGAGGCGCGCTGTGGTCCTCGAAGTTCTCCACTGGAATACTGAGTAGATACAAAAAAGTCTACCATATTTATATACAGCTCTGAAAACAAATATCAAGAAACTCTGCAAAACGATCCGTTCATTTGGTTTTGCTATTTATTTATTTATGCTTTATGAATGACCTAAACCTAAGAACTTCCTGATGTCATCAATGGTTCGTGCACTTATTTTCAATCGTTTTATCTATAACCCACTGACAAGATTTCTCAAAAATTCCCCAAAAATATATAAAAAATTGTTCTTGCTACACAAATGAATGCTTATTTTTAGACACTTTTTTTTTTTAAATTGGGGAAATTACTCACTAATTAGAATTCTTGAGGACTGTTGAAGTCAAGTATATAAGAACTGGGAGACACAAGCCATTGATAATGAGGGAATTCAATTAAATATAGCTTTGTTCAGTGGGTTAAAAAGGTTGGGAATCACTTCTTTCCACCCTCGCAGAACACTAAAACAGTGATTGCATTAGAATGAATCCAGCACTTGATATGTGTACTTTACATCCTATGCTAACACCTTGCCTGTAGTGAAGCAAAAATGACCAACGATGACTCATAAACGACCTCAGTGATCCCATTCTCTTTCACAAAAACACTCATCCTACCTGAGGAAGAGGGACCTGGGGCCCTTGACATCTCTCTCGCTGTAGCACTTCACGCTGGGCTTGAAGATGAAGGGGTTGGTGTTGAGGTCGTTGTCAGGGGAGACGGACCCGTACTCGCTGCTGCTGCTCGTGTCCTCCACCACCACCGGCACCGGCAGCGAGATACTGCGCAGGTACTCTGAAGGACACCAAAGATACCTTCAGGGCGCCTGTTGCATAATTTACACACTAATAATGTTTTTTATTTGCACCGCAGAGAAGGAGACTGTTTTCTCCGTCCATTAGGAAGTCAGAGGTTTTGTTCCATGACAAAGAAAGCTTTCAAGAGAGGGGAAATTGGTCATGATGCTAATGGAACATTTGGCTTCCTTTCTAAGAGAAGACAAAGAAAAATCAGATAATATCCTCATGCTTAGAGCTATCTGATGTATCTGGCAGCATATTACAGCGGTTGTGTATATAAATTATGAACCAGGGATTACAAAGTATTTGGAAAATAAGTCATCTTGCGCAATGTCTATTTAGAGTTCTTGGAAAGGGTAAAGTAGTGCCAGTTATTTGCAGAAAAAAAGAAAATGTAGCCTTCTGTAGCAAAACAAGCAGATATGTCTGAGAGATGACACCCAGATTACTCTTCTAGTTGTAAATATGTTTGAAAGTTACTCACCAGACCCCGGTGACAGAGCTGTGGAGAGAACACAAACAATATATGTCAGCATTTAACAGAGAACAAAACATTTCCACGTAAAACAGCAGCATAACATTTCCAAGTATGAAGACAGGCACTAGGTTGTAATCCGTCTCTTTTAAATCCTCTGTGCTGGTGCCAGGGCACACGATGGCATCACTGCTGCGAAGTGGAAACTCTTGGAATCCAGACAATTAGGATCAAGGGTGTGCTCATGTTGTATAATGAAGATGTGTGTATTACATAATGTACAGGTAAGACAGGTGACAGAATGCAGATCATTATTTTACATTTCTCAATCTTTAGATGCAATCCTCCCTGACATGAAGTGGTCATTTTCAGTGCCTGCCACGAGATGCGTTATTATTATTATTATTATTATTATGTATAAGTTTAGTAATTAGTTAGTAGTAAAAGTTCAGTGTTAAGTCTAACATTTGACATGTCTGCTAATGAATGGTTCATCATTTTCGAATAATCGTATTAATTGACACTGACACTTGAAACCCCTTTTGAGATCTGTGATGTAGGCTGTTTGTTTTCTTAAAGCATATTCAAGTATTAAGCATAATTTACCTACATTTGCTTGATATTGCCAACTTATAACTTAAAGGTGGGGTCGGTCATTTTGGAGAAAGCAGCTCGAGTGCGCTAGAATTTGAAAATACACAGCCGGAACAAATCTGCCACTTCCTTACAGAGCCCCTCCTCCAACACACACGAACGCGCACATGACCAATGAGGGCACGAGATA